CCCCAAAACCCCAAAACCCCAAAACCCCTCAAAATCATAACTCAATCAATATAGCCCTAAATAACACTCTCCAGTAAACGTTACCAAGAGTTCTAAAATATCTTCAGACCAAAAACACTTATAAAACATCACTCCCAAAACCAGTAAATTTCCAATTAAACTCCCTATATTCTACCCCAAACCCTTCAAATTTCTCAAAAATTACATCTCACAGTCAAAAATCTATTTCTAATGAACTGCTTTTAAAATTTCACTACCATAATGATATTGTTCTTCTGAATCATTAACAAACATAGTAGGCCAATATTCTCCAAATTCTTCAGGCTAGAAATCTCCAAGCCTCGTCTTACAGTCCTGGAGGACTGTAAGACAGGGCCTTCGAGAGGAGACCTGTGCTGATGAGGACTGTGGAATCCTTGGACTACAAACTTGTCTTCAAAGGATACCATCTGATGTATTTCATTGATAGTATCACCAGCTATGAGAATGAAATGGATGCTCTAAAGGTAATCCAACTTTCCTTAGAACTCCTTTGTCAGTATTCTGTTTCAGTCTCTGAATTAGACATTGTGCACAGGGAGAAGAATCGAAGCCATAGATGGGGCCTGGTTATTAGTAATTGGGCAACATATATTCCAAATCATTCTTCCTGCACAATTTCTTCGTAGTTCATCTTGTCCTCGATGGAATTATAACAGGTAGGCATCTTCAGAAAGCTATAGTTCTTACTCTAACCCCAGCTCTTTAAGAAAATAAGGGTTCTCTAAATTTTATTGTAACCAGAAAGCTATTTTGATGAAGCTTGTAGAGAATGATGGTTTGGCGTTGAAAATAGCATCATAAATATGTGAATCTGACCTTTGAGTCGAACCTTTAGTTGATTTGGCACTAATTTAAATTTATTCATTTCTAAATTTATCGTATTCTTGGGTTCATAGTTGTATGTAGATTTATGAGATACTGTCAAAAAGACTAACACAATGCTCTAACCTTTGCATTTTGAAATGATGATTTAGTATTAAAATGGAATTTTAAGAATCATAAAAATATCTAAATCAATATTTGTAAAAGTATGAGCTCTTAAAATCTGACCTATGACTTATAATCAATGTCGAATCATCCTCAAGGGGTTTTGGGGTTTTGGGGTTTTGGGGTTTTGGGG